CTGTGAATTGACTACTCCCTCTGTCTACAAGGCAATGCGCTAGCAGGAGCAGGTCGGCTGTTTTGTCACGTTCACCATGTTTCCATCGCTCTTTAAAAATCCGTGCATCACCAGACGTCAAGAATGAACACCGAAGAGTGAACAGCATTTTCTTAGGTTGAGGTTGCCGTTCTCCAGCAGGCAGCCCTCTATGCTGTGCTGCTCTGCTGCTGCTGCAGGGGTCTTTTCAGTGCATGGAACCGGATGGTGAACAGAGAACACAGCGGGGGCTGGGCACTGCAATGTACTGCAGTGCTCGTAGCTCTGCTATGCACACCCACTCTCTTCCATTCTTGCTCTGCCTCTGACAATCTCTCAATCTCTTACTCTATCTCTCTACCCTTCTCTGGCCAATGGTTGTATCATTTGTCTTCCCTCATCTCTTCTCTTCAGATTCGTTATGTGCTTTTCCTGCCTGCTTCTCTCAACACTCTTATGGTTGACTGCAATCGATATTTCCCTTGCTGTCTCTTATATTGTTCTTTTAAACTACCCTACCCTCTGTTTCTCACATGGACATAGACATGCACATCTATAAGACTAATACATATATACATCAAATAACCTTTACCTGGAGAGTTATCTTAGCCTGCTTCTAACCCCATTATTCCAGACTTCCATTTTTTCTCCAAATGGAGTAGAATATCTATAATTTACATCTCTATATTAGCAGTACAAGTACACATACACGCAATGTCATTGGCACCACTTGCTGTGTTTATCAAGGTGTCATTATAGCATCCCCAAGAGAGACTGCTCGGCTAAAACATCTGCAGCATCCTCTATTTGCATCGGAATAATCTAAACAAAATAGCCTGGTGAGTTTTTACAGCACCTCTTCTTATCCTGAGATGGGCAGTTTTGAGATTGTTGCTAAATGTACAGTGACAGCCGTTGTTGCTCCGCTATGTTGCCTCCACCATCATTTACAGGGGCACACTAAACGCCCATGCCGCACAGCATGGGACAGAGGATGTCACGCTTGGAGGATGAGCAATGACAAGCCCAGCAGCTGGTCCCTTCCCCCAGAAACTTCACAACTGTTAGAAACAGTTACGCTAATGACTTACATGCAGTGTTTACAAAGTTATCGAGATAAACCTTGCAGGCAATTTGATTATGAAACAAGAAACCTCTTTCAAAGCGCTTACACAAATAAATACAAGAACATGACCGCAAATGTTTTTGGCGTGACTCATTCCATCTACATTCCATCTAACAGCAAAAGCTTAACCCTCCTCCATCTCCCACACTCTGCATTTATCTTCAAGATGCTGTCTACTTCTTGGAATGGTGAGGGGTTTCATATCTATTTCCCATTAAAGAGCAGAGGTTTCTGATCATCACTTCCTGAATGAGTTTTACAGTCTGGCAGCAGCATCCTGCAGAGACACTTTTGTGGTCGCTTCATAAAACAAAGCTCTGTGTCACAGCAGGTGTCAGAGCCGTATGAAGAAAAGTCATTGCATGTAATTTTCATTTTTTTTTGCAAGCGATTTGTAGAAAACATAATTAATTGCTAGCCACTGTTAACTGGAACGATGTGTTGTTTCTCTTTTAATAACATTGTCATTTGGATTTTGGGTGATCACTCAATAAGTCCATGTAAAACCCATTTGTCAAGCTTGAAATATCTTGCTGCTGCAGTCGGATTGATGGAAGGAAAGCTGAACAAAATCTCAGCGCTGACACTCCCACCTAGAGCATACAGCAATAATACAGGTAGACAAGGCCGGCCAAAACATTCTTTTTTCCTTTTTGTGTGTGTATTTTCTTTTCAAAATGAAACTGTGAAGAAGCCACTTTTCAGTTCCTTCACAAAAACACAGCTCTTCTTAAGGTAAACTGTGTTCCAGAAGAAGAGAGGTGTATGAATAATGAAGAAGCAAAGCCACACAGCCATTGCAAACGTCATATAACAATTTAGAAAATTTAACCAGGCAGGGTATTACATCAGCTAACCAAAGATAATTAGGAATGCCCATTAGCCTTCACTAAACATTGGTTTGCTTCAAACTTTATAAAGGAAGCTCTTGCAAAAGGTCCCTGCTATGTGCACTGTCCATGGTGCTGAAACAGATTACATTTTCTTCCCAACCCTCTTTGTACCCCTGTATATAAGAAAGTCTTGAAAACTTGAAACACAAATCTACATTACGATCGGGTTTAGATGTATGTCTCGTGCTTATAGCTACTATCAGAGTACAAGGTACGAGCTTCACTTTTAACTAATATGAAAACACACAAAAAAATGCTCATCCAGTATTTTCAGCATCCTCATAAACATGTTAAGTCCATCTATTATTTTTCCCTGCTCTGCAGCAGGCCAGTGTTCACAGACATTTTCAGCAGAGAAAACACATAGTGCCCACTGCTGGACAACATCACATCTTCATTCAGAAATGATCAAGGTCAGATATACAGAACAGAAAGGAGGATATACTAAATTACTGCAATTTCTCTTAAATAAAAGAATGAAATCATTAATATAAAAACATATAATTATGAATAACCCTTTTAACTGTATGTCAACTTACTATCCTTTGTTGTTTGAGCTAATTTTTAACAATAATAATAATTCATAATATTATTTCTATCTTTTTGTGTTTCTTTAGTACACTTTAGTCAGTTCAGCCAATCAGAGAGCCCACTTTTGCTGCAGGCTTAGACTGGAGGAAGTCCCAGAGCACCGGATAAACCAAACAAAAACTAATCGCCGGTCTCAAACACTATCAGAGCCAATTCAAACAGTTATCTAAGCAACCCCACTGACACTCCGGGTACACAACGAGAGCGTGCAGGATAAAATTATAATGGGCTGACGTAGTCTTTTTACCACACTAAGCTTATCATAGTGTACCTATTCACAATATAAGTAGCAAAACTTCACTTATCCCAAACTGGGATAGGTGAAAACGAGGTAAAACTGTGAGAGCAAATTTGGGAAGCTGGTAGCTGGTTTGGGTTGCTTCATCCTGGCACTGTCTGGATGCTGAGGCAGCTCTGCACAGGGATGTAATGGGATACTGCAGCACTAGAGAACCGTGTGCACAGAAACTTGCCTAGGAGCATCAGGGAGTCCCACACTAACCTTCCCCCTCCCTCTTTCTCTCTCCTTCTTCGTTTTCATCAAATATTATGCAAAAAAGAAATGGAAACAAACAGAGATCCATGTATGCATTTAAAAGGGAACTGTGTGTGAAGAACTAAAACAAGGAAAAGAATAAGTACACTCACTAACAGTGAACACAGAACACAACTTCAGAAGTGAAATAATCCGGCATGCTTGCAGGAGAATGCAGCTGCTTACCTTTTGTGCAGGTTGCTCTCTCCTGGACACGGAGTTCTTCCCCCTTCTCTGCAGATTCCCAGACACTTTGAGATAGAGAGAGAAATAATCAATCTCTTCTTACTTTCTCTTATTTCCAATTTCAGAATGAATAAGTCAGGAGTCTAACATAGCAGTGTAGACACACCTTTACTCTGTAAACTCTGACACACACACACAGACTCCCATTCAAATGCACCCCAGGACTGGAGTACCCAAATTGATAAAGATCTGCTCAGGGGAGGGATAAAAACTACACACACTCACACACTGCAGTTTTTTTTTCCTTTCTCTTGCTCAGCCGCTCTGCTGCTTTTTTCCTGCTGTCTTTGCCTGCACTGCTTCCTGATTGGCTAAGCTGCTCTTCAATAACATAAGCTCTCCTCTTTAATTGGAAGGGAGCCAGTTATGTGGTGCACCAGAAGCCCTCCCGCCCAGCTCATCTCTCTTTTTTTTTTATTCCTTTTTTTCCCTAAGTGCCTGTGGAAAAGAATGCTGAGCTCTGCAATTTCATACGCATTGAGCAAAGAAAAAAAGGGACGAGAATGGGGAGAGTTTATCAGTGTTTGTGCGTGTGTGGGGGGGGGGAGTGGAAATGAGGGAGAGCAGCGGAGGCGAGCCAGTGTACTGCAGTGGGACAAGCAGACGTTGCATGGGAACAAAGAGACAAGGGGGCTATAGGGTGGGGTGAGAACAGATTTCGCTGCACTGTCCAACACCGGCAGCACGTTGACTGTGACAGCAGGTCAGATGAAGGGAGATTTCCCTGTGCTCACTGCAGCACAGCTAGGTGGCTCTGCTGCAGTGTGGAGTCTAATTCCCAGGCAGGAAGGGGGATGGGAAGGAAGGAGGAGGAGGAAGAGAGAGGAGGCTGGTTGCAGTGATACCAAAGTCTCCCAGCCAGCCTGGATATATGGGAGGAAATGGGCAGCCATCCGCAGTGTGCACAGCGGTTAATGCCTTTTCTTCATGAATTATTGAAAGTGCCCCAAAGGAGAATGGGAGGCTACCAGGCAGCACACTGTTCAAGCAGTCTCGCCACTACTGACGTTCGCGTTAATTACCAGCACCTGAAGTGAATATCATCGCACAGTTAGATGAAGCCCCCTTTAGAGATTGCAATAAAATATCTTGAATGGAAAATGTATGTCATTACCTCTCCCCTTTCCACTTGAATTTCATCATGCGTTAAAAGGCTTTCCCATACTGGAGAAAATGGATGTGCAGGATTGACTTTGTGGTGTCAAATTCCCTGCTCTCTTTCACTCACATCTGGTCCATTGTTCCTCGGCTGCATTAAAGCACAATACCCCAGCAGATCAATAAAGAAGCATACAATACCTTGAGCATTTGCAGTGGCCATGATGAGCACTCCAGAAGTTATATGATGACCAGAGAGAAAGGTACTGTTTGCTCAACCAACAATGTAAATGCTTAGTGAAAGAAGGGTGAGATAAAGAGATAACTGACGCTTTATACTCAGTCCCGTGGTATAAAACAAACCATATGAGATATTAAACTGAGTTCATCCGGGTTCATCTTAATTTAGTGATGAACACAGATTAAAATATTTTGGAAGTAGTCCCAACAGTCATTACAAAAAGGTTCTATAATAATACCACTACTAGTTGGATATGAGCTTATGTGGGTTCTTTTATAAAAAGAAAGCTTTATTTTATTTAACAGAGAAAATAACATGTTTCCAACTTTGACAAAAAAAAATCTCCTTGGCTTCATATACATCAGTATTTCAATAATTAACATTTCCATGAATCATCTGCGTCTGTTTTCCTTCATCACTGTGGTCTCTTCTTTCTGAGGAAGACTGTAAACTGTGATGGAGATGTCTGTGTGTTTGAAGACCTGATCCAGTATCTCTGACACGCTCGTCCACTTGAGTCGATCCAGGCCACAGCCGATACTGTCAGAGAAATAGATAAAGAATTTAACTACCACAGCAACTTAATAAATGCCACAATTAGTTGATTTTAAAATGAATTTGTTTATTATTATTTCTCTCAATTAAGGGTCACAAAAGAGAAAAATTATACAAACCGAGGCATCGATATTCTTGATACTTGGTTCTTCAGGCAATGTGACCTCATATCCTCCAGGCTCTGTCTCAGGCTGTCATAGGTGGGTTTCTGGCTTGCCTTTTTCTTTGTGATCTACAATAAAGTAATAGAAAAACAACATTTCATTGCACTAACCACAACAGCTTTTGGATAAAATCTCTCGATTTGTCTAAAAGTGTACATCTAGTGAAGTTTAATCAACATGTGTACCAGATAGTAGACAAAGCGTCCATCGCTTTTCAGTACGGCACACTGTCCTGTCACTTTTTCTGTTTGGATTATAAAGAATAGAAAGACAAAAAGAAATATAATATCCACATTAGAACAAAGCTTGATAAAAAAAAGATTCATAAATCCCTAGACCCTTAATAACACACCGGAAGACACACACACACAAAAAGTTAGAAAGTAGAGTTGTTTATCAAAAAGTTTACTAGCCTGAGAACCAAACAAATCAAAAAGCAAAAACTCATGTGTCATTGCTGTGGCACAAAGTGTCTGGCCACTATCCTGTTCAAACACATCCTCCCTCTAATCTGCCAAGACATTTGATGTAATACTAGGCCTTGTTTGACACAAACATTTTAGAGAAAAACTGACGTGCTATCTTTCTATTCAGAGACACTGAATCTGTTGTTAATATCCTTTTATAACCAAAAATAAAGCTTCCAGACTGAAGCGTCCACATGATCTGTCAGTGCCTTGCAAAGCATTTGAGTATCTTCGTGTTGTGTTTAGAGAGACCCTGCACCAAGTTGGCTGCTATTCATGCGAATAAAGTTGTGGGCTAAGCTTCTTTATGCAAAATTAGAGGCATCAGGTCCAACGTCGCCTCTGAAAACTCCCCAAAACTTTCACATGTTAAGGCAAAATTATTCAACCTATTCCTCACTTCAAATGTTCTCAGAAACAAAGTTCAGCAAGTTATTTTTGAAACATAAGACAACGTTTCCAAACGAGTCAGCAGATGGGTGTTTGCTCAGTTTTAGGAGGTTACACAAGAGAGCGAGCACCTGTCAGTCATCCATTATGACGCTGGTAAGTGGCACGCCCAGCAGGATACAAATACAAAGTCACATTTACACATTTGTCATACGATACTACCTTGACTTTCTGTAAGAGTGAATGTGTGTGGAAGAATATGAGTTAATGTGTACACAGAGTCAGACAAAATTGATACAATGTGATACTCTCAGACAGTGTAGAAAAAACTCCTAACCGAGGCTGTTACAAAAGGAAAGCGAGTGAGGAGGAGGTTAAAGGCTTTTAAAAAAAACTGTGTCCATGCTGGTAAAATGATCACAAGACATCTTCATCCCTGATGAATCTTTAATGAAAGGGTTGACTCACTTTGCTCTTTTAACTCAGTCACCCCTTGAAACCTCTTTCTGAATTCCACAGCTATGCCTGCCCCCATACGGATGTCCTCGCTGATGCAGTGGGCCAGAGCTTCACGCGCAGGGCAGGAGAACAGGTCCCCGGTGACATAACTCAGCCTCCACTTGTGTTCTGCAGGCTAACCAGGAGGGGGCAGCATTAGACAATGTCGTGAAGCATAACGACGGAATAACAAATACAGTAAACACTGGTGTCTTGACGGAGAAACCCCAGAAACTGAACTTTACCTTAGTTGTGTGGGTGCTGGCCGACATATGAGGTTCGGACGACATTGACAAGCGAGGGTAAAGCACTTGCAGGGCGATTTGATTTGCTGTTAAGTATCTTGAACACACACTACAAACACACGGAAGTATCGACATTCAATTTCTGCTGGAAGACCTGTTTGCTAGTTTGCACAGTACGCTGTGCGCTACTACAGTCGCTCGTATGACTTAAAAACTGCTACCTGCAGAAAGCTGTTTAACTTACGTATATAACACCGTTCTCGGAAGGTTAGTTGGTTTGGAGGTGTATGAAAAGCTGCTACGTAACATATCGTCTCGCGAGAAATAGCGAGACCTTGTGGACGATCACGCCTTCGGAATGTGAAGGTTTGTCAGATGCAAAACAAATATTTTAACTTTTTCATTAGAATAATTGCAAAGCATACTTTAATAGAACCCCATTTTTAACACTATACACTAATGTTTGTGTTTAGAAGTCTTTTATTCAACGCCTATCAATAAAAGTTGGCTACTTCCTGTGGTCTCCTAAATTTATTTGGTGTTTTATGTTTTAAGAAATTCACATTTGACATTTATTGTGATTTATTAATATGTTTATTGGATAACTCTTTTTTTTGCTTATATTATTACATATAAGAAAATAAAGCAAGGGCAGACAAACAAAACCTACATCATCATACGCAGCAATAAATGAAAGCTTGTGAAAATCTCAGCACTGATGTGGACATGTATCTAAATATGATACAACAGCATATAGCACGTTAGCAGTCAGACAGTATCAGTGTTTTATTTTATATACATATAAACTGCAATATACACAAAATCACAATATGAATAGTTACACATCAGGATTGTGCATGACAGACTGACGGTCTGTGCTTCCCCCTAGAAGTCCGCACTACGGCGTCGCTCATTGAGCCAGTCTCCGGGGTTCACATCCATCTGCAGCATCTTCATCACCCACTTGTCCCTCCGTGCTCCATCGATGAACTCATCCAGTGAGAGCTCCCCTAAGTGACGCAGGACAGTTATTCTTAGTATACATTTCTTCATTCCTGATAGATGACCATTGTAAAGCTTGCACCCACCTATCCTTTTAATATAAACAAGCAATAACGAATACGCATACAATTTTACAATTAGTGCTTCACAATGCCACAGGTGTTTTAAATCATCCATGGAACATTTTAAGCCGTTAGGAACCATTGCAAACACTCACCATCCCCATTTTCATCAACCAGCTCAAATATCCGGTCAACCACTTGGTCTGGGGTCAGCAGATTACATTCTTCATCCAGCTCTCCATGGCAGGCTTTCTTCAGCCGATAAATAGACTGAGAGTTACAGGAAAATATGTTACAGTGACTCCTTCACTGACTAAAGTTCATTAGTCAGTCAATTCAGCTGCATAATATCAACTACGCAGAACGCATGGAGACTTTAAAATAGTAAATATTACCTCCACAATTTCTAGAAGCTCTGTTTTGTCGATGCACCCGCTTCCATCTTTGTCATACATTTTGAATGTCCATTTAAGTTTATGCTCCAGTTTTCCTCGAAGGACTAAGTTCAAAGCTGCCACATACTCCAAGAAATCAATGGTGTTGTCCTGTGTGCACACAAGGTTCAAATGTTGTGAAGGAATACAAGGATGTGACTAAGAACCTAAATGTTTACTTCAGTGTGGACTTTAACCTGTCAGAGAATAGGGAAAATTATCCATTATTCCTAGAGCTAAGCTGAAACATCCAGTTTGCTTGCTGTGTATACCCTGAAAACCCAAGAAGTATTCTCAGTGAAATTGATACATGAGCATTTATGACATTTTTCCTTACTTGTACAAATTAAGTTAGCCCTCAAAATTGCTGCAAATGAGTTTTCTGCCCTTCAAATATTTAAAATGATAATGGGCATCAGCTGAAACAGCACAAGCAACCTTCCGAATCAACAAATGTGTATTAATATCTTGTCCTGCTGTGTAGTTTGGTAACAATGTTAAAATGAGACAGAACTGAAGTTTGTACTTACTCCGTTTTTGTCAAATGCTCGAAACATGTTTTCAATGTAATCTGCAGCTTCCTTGTTATGAGTAACGCCAAAAAAACTCTTGAACTCGTGCATGAACAGCGTTCCACTTGGGCATTCCACAACAAATTTTTTGTACCATTCCTGCAGCTCCGCCACATCGATTTCCTTGTCTTGGTCACTCTCTTCACTCAGGCGTTGACCCATGTTGGTAATATTTTTATTCTTGCTGAAAATAACAAATATTATCTCTTACATTACACAAATCTGGTTTGACCTGGTTACATTTTTTAAGCTTCCACCTACATTACAAAATGAAAAAAGTGCTCAGTTACAGAGTCAGTGGCTGCGGCTAAGTTTGTGCAAATCAGCAAAAACCAAATTGACCAATATGGCATGAAAGTCCATAGAAGCTGAATTGTTATTCGGCTCTCAATTGTGGCAAATCCTTACTGAAAGTGAGGATGAGACACAGACTGCTATGGATCACATGATAAAGGATTAGAAATGAACACTTGTCAAATTCAATTAGTCCACAGCCAGATTATGAGAAGATTGTGCTGCTGCTTGTATCTATACTAAACTAGAAGAAAAACAATACTGTGTGTAAAAGTTGTGGGGGGAAATGACATAAAAGGGTTTTAAGGATCTCTGATTTCATTCAATTTTCACAAATTAAAATGTATTATTATTTAATTATATGATTTAAATTTACTTTAAGGCATAAAATGCCAAAGCTAAGGCCTAAAGTCTGTATAGTGTATAAAAGTTTTGAATCGAGTGATTTAAGGCTTTACAAAGCAGAGCTAGAATTCAAATTTTAGTTTTTGAGGTTATATAATTGAGGGGAAAATCAAATGAATTGATAGAATGATCAAACAAAAGGTCAAGCACATTAAGATAAAGTATTACCTGTGGACTAATAAGTAATCTATTCCAAAATAGAAAGCTCCTGACCCGTCTGATAATTCACTCAGCTCAGTCCTTTAGTTATCCCTGGAAACCCTGACCTTCAGGTGCCAGGTAATTAACTGGTACCCTGATTACTCTATGAATGCCCACTCTAGTCTTACTGAAGCCTATAATAAAATTGTTGTCACTAGTGATGTGCATTTAAATCCACCTCATATCTCAAAATAGAAATTCTATTTTGGAAAAGGGTCAAACATCAAGCAGGCTTTTGTTGTTTTGGTTTTTTTTTAGTAGAAAGCAGACTTGGAAACAGCTATACTTTTTCAATAGAACACCAGCGTTAGCAGGATCTTATCTTTTGTTTATAGGTGAAAACATGGCTTGGCCCATTTCCTTCCTGGCTAAAATATGCGCTGACAACAGGAATAGTGATAATCTTAGCTTAGAGGTTTCAAGGCCATTGAGGAGTCACTGGATGATATCCTTGCACGATTAAAATGATTCACACCTGTCTTACACGAGAGATATTCCCCCTCAGTCATCGTACAAAGGCTTTTACCTGTGCTGATCACCCGTTTCTACACACATGCCTGGCAGTTTTCTGTAATGTATTATATATATATATATATATATATATATATATATATATATATATGTGTGTGTGTGTGTGTCATTGTTACTTCTAGAGTTTTAGCTTAGTAAAATAATGTCACAGAGAACTGCTGCAAGCTGGTTATTTTCTCTTTTTTATACCTTTCTCTATAAACTATAAGACTGCAGGGGAAGATCCCAGTAGATCAGCAGTTTCAGAGCAGCCTGTTTAGCAACAAAAGTCAGTCAAATCACCCTTTCTTCCTATTCTGAGACTTGCTTTGAACTTTAACAAGTGTTCGTGACCAAGTCCAAATGCCTCAAAGACATTTACATTAAACATTTGCACCTAATAATGTGGCTGTTGAAAAACACTATGCTATCAAACTCATGTTTTGGCTAAGGTTATGGTGTACCACCAGCATATAAATAAACTATGCTAACATTGACATATATATCGCTGAAAGCAGAACGTTTGAGTGGAATGATTTCACAAGTGTGACTAAAATGCTAGATATCAACAGATAGGTGATACAGACAACAACTGTACATAAAATTTCGTATTTTTCTCTGGGCTAAAATTTTATAATGTCAGGAAATGTTTCTATTCTCATAACATTTTGAGTGCAGCTAAACAATAATTCCCTGGACACAATTGTTGTGTTAACATTAACCCGGATAAGCAACTCCCTTAACACCAGCTGGGCAAAGTACAGTACACTTCAAATTTCAGCATTTATTGCTTTCCATGAATACTATGATACAAGCGCAAGCCTTCAGTTTCCAGCGATGATCAGTTTTACAAAGGCAGTGGACATTTATTACAAGTCTACAAAAACTGATTTACATACTGATACATACTGTAAAAATTCCTAATTATCAAAAGTGACGACTGTAAACTAAGGTATGACATACATACAGTGTAAAAGTACCTTGTATTCTGTTTACAGGGCTTGATGCAGAAATGGCTACCCTTAAGCAAAAGCAATATTCTATCTAACCAAACTGGTTACTACAATACCGTTTTATACTGGCTTCATAGAATGAAAACCAAAACTATAACATTTTCCACATCCTTCAAGGGGTCAAAGCTGACAAGTGCAAGATAATGTTAATAAGAAATATATTTACGGTATGTGCTTCATAGAAAAAGCAAACAGAAATATGTGAAGCATTGCTTCACATTCTATATGGCAGGTGTCCTCGTTCACCTTAAGAGACACATTCATTAGTGAGATAGTCAAAACAACTGTGCTTAGGCTAAAACAAACTCTATCAAACATATCTTTATGGAAATACATGCCGAATGAATAATGAAAATTCAGAGTACATCAGTTACATTAGTTATTAGGGTTCAATTATTACGTTCAGATATAAAAATCAGGGAAAAAAGATTAGAAAAACTTTTAGTCAACAGTGAAAAAGGCAGTCTCCATAATCTTCTTTTACATCCATGCCTTCCAGTTTAAAGACCAGGTGATGTGAGGCCTTGAGAATTGAAACTGATTAGGACAAAAAGATCCTTCTGTGAGGAATCTAGAGGTTCACATCACTCTTGGTCCTTACAGGTCCACAGTGCTACAGATATACCCTTGGTGTGGTATCATACAGTGTAAAAAAAGAAGAAAAAAAAAAGTCAGATGGCAGACAGGCCTTGAAGTTAGTCAAGTTCCCCAGGCTCTATTGCAGTCTCTGCACTCTTTGAAATGCCAGCAACGCCCTCTGTTGACAAGTCTGGTGAATTACTGGAAGAGGGTATCTGCTTGTCACTGCTTAAGTCATCTCCATCGCTGCTGTTTCCTTCCCCACTGTCCAGCTCAAAACTTTCC